GCATATATATTAAGAAGTATTGGGCTAGCTGGTTTGGCTCAGTGGATAGAGTTTCAGCCCATGTACTGAAGGGTCCTAGGTTTGATTCTGGTCAAGGTCATATACCTGGGTTGCAGGCCCTGGTCAAGGTGCCTGCAGGAGGCAACCAACCCATGTGTCTCTCTCACATCGATGTTTCTCTCTCTGTGTCTCTTCTACTCTCTCTAAAAATCAATGGAAAAATATCCTTGGGTGAGGATTAACAACAACAACAACAACAAAAAGAAGTGTTAGGTCTTTTTGATGTAGTGTCCCCTTTATCATTATAAAATGTCAATTAAAGGGTAAAGGGGGCCAAATATATGGTGACAGAAGATTATTTGACTTTGGATGGTAGGCATAATGCACTGGACTAGATCATGTATTATGGAGATGTGTACCTGAAACCTAAATGATCCTATTAACCAATGTCACTTCAATAAATTTAGTTTTTAGAAAAAGAAAGAGAAAAAAAAGAAATCGGTCTGTGCAGAACCATTTACAAAATTTGCAGGGCCTACTGCAAAATGAAAATGTGGTACCTCTTGTTCAAAAATTAAGAATTTCAAGATGGCAACAGCAGAGCATTAAACCAAGTATGGGGCCCATGTGGACTGCCATAGCTCACCCTGGGTCTCTGTGATAGAATGACTTGAGTCCGTCTAAAAGGAGTGTATCTCTGCCTATTCCAGAAAAGGTCGGTGACCCCTCTGATGTGGGCAGGGAGGCAAAGACTAAAGCAAGCTCACACTGCTCTTTAGCTCAAAGCCCTTATTAACATAAGCAGTGGTGATTGATAAATTACGGAGATGCTCAGAAGTCAAATTGAAAACAAGTATTATGAGTAGGTGAGATAAATAAGGATGAAGGGGGAAGTTAAGAGAGAATCTTTGTTTTATTATTTCTTGTTTTTATTGGCTGTGGTTGATGAAAACATAACTAAGAGAAGGGAATACTGTTAACTTTAAATCTGTTCCTTAGAACTATTCTTTACCAATATGTATTCATTTAACTGCCTTTCTAAGAGCAGATTCTTGAAGAGATTTGGGAGAACTCTGGTTTAGGCAAAAAGTTTTCTGTCAAATTCTATTTGTGCTATTTATTTATTTTTTAAGGAATTGGTCATTTCAATCATATATATTGATTTTTTGCAGAGAGAAAGGGAGAGAGAGAGAGTTAGAAACATCGATGAGAGAGAAGAAAGAGAGCTAGAAACATCGATGAGAGAGAAACATCGACCAGCTGCCTCCTGCACACCTCCCACTGGGGATGTGCCCGCAACCAAGGCACATGCCCTTGACTGGAATCGAACCTGGGACCCCTCAGTCCGCAGGCAGATGCTCTATCCACTGAGCCAAATCAGTCAGGGCTGGTCATCTCAATTTTAAATGTTACGACCTGTCTCCTTTTATTTTGAACCTCTAGAAAAATGGCTCCAAATGGAGGTATAAAAAGTTTAAAGGTCTTTAACTCTGAAAATTGAAAGCATAGTGTGTGTGTGTGTGTGTGTGTGTGTGTGTGTGTGTGTGTGTGTGTTTACCTGCTGCTGTCA